GTCGCCGTTGGCACGCGCCGCTTTGGTATCCTTGGGTACGAGTCCGTCGACAACCTCGGAAAGTTTCATGAGGGCCGCACGGGCCTCGGCGCCGTTCCGTATGGCAGCCTCCTTTCTCTGGTTGGGCTGCATGCTGCTGAGGTTGTAGGATTGCAGATTGAAGAACATCCGAGTACCGACGTCGCCCGCCGTTTTCGCCACGTTTATTATCTTGTCCGAAGCATCGTCGTCCCTCGCCAGGCGGGTGATGCCTTTGGTATTAATTAAAACCTCGGTGAGAGATTGGGCAAACTCGTTCGCGGCCTTGATAACCTCGACGTGCTCTCCGCCCTTCTCCCCGCCAAGGTAAAGGTGGTACACGGTCGCAACGTCGGTAGCGTTGTTCACAGCCTTTTCGATCATGGAAAGGGTGTACTCTGGTGTCGCGTTGGTGTTTCCGGCTTGTGTCGGAGATTCCAACTCGTAGATCCCATCCTCAACCTTTTGCATGCAAGCTTGCAAAATTGAATCTGTACAAAGCGATTAATACCCTTAATTGAGTGATAGACTCGGACTGATGTGTACCAATAATCTGGTTAAGGTTCTTCTGATGATCGAGGATCAGAGTGTCGATCTGCGTGTCATTGGCCGTTTCGAGAACTTGACGGTCCTTGAAAAAGCGTCAGGATTAAAATAAAGCTGTGATGCGGGCCTCGCTACCTGTTGGATGTCCGACAGCCGTCCCATGGCATCATTCAGGCTCTCCTCAAGAACCATGAGCTCCTGGTCCTTATCGTCCCGAAGTCGCTCGAGATCGCCCTCTGCATTGTTCACTTTCGTGAGCAAGTCGTCAATTTGAATTTGTTTGGCCTAGAGTGCGTGTCAACAATCCAACTCGGATAAAAAAAGGAAAAGTCGTACCCGAAGAGAATCCTCCAGCTCCTGAATTTGTCTATTGTATTTGTTTAACACACTGGACACTTCAGAATTCCTGGAGTGGGAAGCATCCTCTGCACGCTCGTTTGCAAAGTTAAGCTCGCGACGTAAACGGTCAGTCTCATCTTTATGGCTGGATTTTTGACGGTCAATGTCGAACCGCGCTCGGTCACGTTCCCGGAGCATGTCAGCCAGCTCCAAGTTCTTGGCCTTGAGATCGCGCTCCATCCGCTCCATGCGATCAACAGCCTCTTGAGCGGAATTTGCTTTGAGCTGCATCTGTTTGAATTTCGAGAGCATATCCAGGTGCTCCGTCCGAAGCTGGCTGTAAAGTTTGGCGAGGGCCTCGTACTTGTTCCGCCATAAAGTCACTTGATCTTGTAGTTGCTTGATCAAATCATCCTTCGAGGCCAACTGCGCATTGACGTTGGCATTAACGCCGCCGAGCTCAGCCTCCAAAGCTCTGACTCTCTGGGGTGAATTGTTCAAAGAACAGAAAAAAAAGGGAAAAAGATCGAATAGACCTACACGATCGTATCTCTCCAAAAACATTTGATCACGTTCCCATTGGCCTCGAAGAGCAAGCAATTCGCGTTCAAGTTCGCTGGCTTGCTGCGAAGCCTGCATATTATATTGCTGTTGTTGCTGGAGTAGCAACTGTTCTTGGGCAAGTCTCTGGGCGTCTGCTTGCCTTCGTTGCATTTCTTCAAACTCCCTGGCTTGTTGCTGCTCCTGCTCAACTCGTCGGCGCTCTTCCGCCTCCCTGGCCGCTGCGAGGGCTGCCTGCTGGTCTTCATACTCTTTCAGCATGCGTGCCTGCTCGTTGACAGTTGCCGCGTCGGGAGAGGGTGCAGGAGGAGGGGATGCTGCCGTCTTTGGGCGAGGTGGCAGGTCGGGAGCATCGCCGGTGTCCAACAAATTAGGAGGTTCCTATGCAAGGGTAAGATGGTGTCGCGCATGAATGAAAAAGAAAAGTTACTTGTGCCAGCTTCGGGACATTGATCAGTCCAGTTAGATACTTGAGATTTGAGCACTCGTAGTAGAACTTGCGTAGATTATAATGCTGGGAAGTATACCGTTGACGCAAGGGCTCCAACGCATCGGCGTCGTTCGTTCCTAGTTATGTGAGGCTAAAATGGACACATGATTTTGAGACGACCTACTTCTGAACATTGCCCTCATCATGCTCGTAATGAACCTGTAGATACCCCAGCTCTCTTTCACGAGCGGAACCAACGCGGATATACGGCACTCGTTATGCGATGACTGATTAAAGTGCGAGAATATCATCTTTTGGAAAGATTCGATTTGATCTTGCAGACCCATTAAGTCGGAGATGGTTTCATAACTGTGGCGGAAGGTGAGAAAGGTTGTTACACATGCGGGGTATAGAGACACACCCTTCATTGGGATCGTCTATTCCCTTGAGAGTCACATACTCCTCGTATTCGAAGAGACCGTTGAATTCAGGTCGTAGGCGGTGAAATCTGAGTTTAGCCAGTATGAACTGGACATATGTCCGTATCAACGGTGCGTATCCTGTGGACCCTAGTCAACGAGGGAGCAGCAAGTGGGCGGACGTTACGCACCACGTTGTCCATCGGATCCGAGAGTTCGCGCGCACGTCTCCAACCAAGCTGTTTGCCCGTGGGCCTCCTTGATGGTCTGAAAGAGGTTGAATAAGTCCATCCCGCGTTTGCACCGCTATGCTTACGGTGGGATGCCCTTCTTGCAAGACTTTATGCACTGTGATGAGCGCTTTGAAGGTCTGAATCTCATCCGCCAAGATGGGCTGAACCCTGAGTCCGCTCCAGAAAGAAATGGATGAGTGGTAGTCCCATGTGAACATAATTGCCTCTGCAGCCAACGTCAGAATGAAGCCGCTATGCGCGAATACGAACGCACTCCGAACATGCTTCTGCTTGGGTGCAGTTTCCTCAGGGCTGGTAGCCTTCTTGATGTTGACGATCAGTTCCTGTTCAGCCTTGTCCTTGTCGACTGGGCGGGTTGGATAATGAACCTCATCGTCGACGTCAAACCCGCCCTGGCCCTGACCTCTCCGACCAGTGTTACCGAACCTGTCTGACATGAGCGACCTGTGCAGAAGAGCTGGAGGGAGCGCACATAATATATGTGGTGGAAGACTACGCGCAAGTCACGCACAAGCTGTGCACCCAACTTGATGTCTTCTTCCCAACTGCGACTTGGACTGCGTCGACCTGCGGCGTTCGCTCAGCTCTGCGCGCGACAATTTCCGCAGCGCCAATTTATTCGTCGCAGCAGCTCCGAGGCAGGCTACACTCCGCGCCGAGACTCCTGGATCACGCCAACAATGCTCCTCCTTGGTTTCGTTCCAATTTTCACATTTGCCCTGGGTACCTGGCAGCTCCAACGACTGCAGTGGAAGGTAGCACTCATCGACGAACTCGAAGAAAAACTTCAACTCCAGCCGTTGTCTCTCCCTAAGCGAATAAAGTGCGGTCATCCCTCAGTGCACTTGAACCTTGGATCTGAAGCCCGACTTTCGCATCAAGTCTTTCAGTAATCCCGGAATTCGTTTTTCGTAAAGTTTTTCTCCGGGGAAAATGGGACCACGCGCATTCGATGCTGGTTAAACCAACCACACGCGAAGGGTACATGGAGCTCATGTCCTCACCCCGCTCGTCCGGCCAGACGGTTCCACAGTAATTGTTGATCGGGGATTCATTTCCAAAGAGTTTGATCTCAATTCCATACCGCAAGATGACGGCGAAGTACAATTTCTCGGCATGCTGCGAACGTCTCAAGAACGAAATTCATTCACGCCTGACAACCATCCAGAGCGAGGCGAATGGTTTTGGAAGGATGCCGATGCCATGGCCGAATATGCTGGAGGGGCAGCTGCAAATGTTCAGCCTGTGCTCGTGGAGGTGATTTTCGGTGAGTGTCAACTCTTTCCGTCCAAGCCATAACTCAATTTGTGCAGAGGGACACGAGGGTGAAGCTTCGACACGACTTTCCAAGGGAATACCCGTTGGTCGTCCCGCCAAGGTTGATCTGCGCAATGCACACTTGTCGTATGTTATTACTTGGTATGGATTCATCTTTTTCTTTCTCGGTTGTATATTAACCTCGATTAGGTATTCGCTCTCTGCGTTTACAGCTGTGATGTTCGTTCGTGTTATGTTCAACAAGAACAAAACACGAGGGCGTTCGATGCCTCGTTCTTAGCTGTACAATTAAAAAAAAAGGAAATCGTGGTTGACATTGATTGTTTATTTGATGGTTGTCTGTAACGACATATCGAAGCAGGCAAAAATCGGTCGCTATCGGTCGGGAAATAGTTCAAATCGTGCTTGTGGCGGTGCTCACAAAGTGAACGCGCTACCCCTGCGCTAATGCTTCGCCCAGGGGTTGCGGTTGCGTCAGGTCGAGAATAAGTTTTCGAAATAAGTCGGAGCACGCAACCACTAACAATGGCGGCATGTTTCCTGGTTGCTGTGTAGGACTCGTATAGGTATATAGCATTGGAAGAAACGGCTTACTTTAAGACGATCGATTGATCAGCTTGTCCTAAAAAGGGACGACTCATTCTTAATCACAAATCGGGAATTTATGCCGAAGATTAGGAAACGACACACAGAAGCACATCCAAGCCATCCGGTATGTGTCGGTATTTCTTTTAAGAGAGAGTTATGATCTTCTCGGTGGTGATGCATGTTTGTTTTCCAATTTACAGTGTTCTGAGAGAATTCCTTCAATGAGACTTCGGGTAGAAACACAAGGAAACCATGGTTGCCTTTATCGGAGAGTAAACCAAATTAACGCTTTAGATTGAGTCGTCAGAGATAATACCGCTCACAAGACAAACTTCTTCTAATTGTTGTTTGAATTGAAATTGATCGGTGACGTTGTATTCAGCTTGGTGTGCAGGTCCTTCATCGGAGCAGAGCGCAGGGGCAGCGAGTCCGCTTTTATAACCGATAGAACGCCTTACAGCGCTGATGGTAGTTCAGAGACTCGGAGCCACAAGACAATCCTTGTCGCTTAAATCAAAAAATTGACACATTGATGCCGTATTGGAGCTAGGGTTCTCTTTCCTCAACGGGCGCGTAGCGCAGGGGTAGCGCGTTCGCTTCGCACTGTGAGTTGTATACGAAAGGCCGTTGGTTCAATTCCTACCGTGTCCATGTGTTTTTGCCCAGTCGTTGGGATGGAAACGATCTTTTTGACCGACGATCGTTTATTCATTTTCCTTTTCAAAACATGCTGTGCGAACTCAAGACAGACTGGGTGACACTAGGAGGTCGTATGTTTAATCCCCCAGCGTCGTTGTCTTGTTGTTCTCGCAGAGGAAATCATGGGAAAAAAAAATTCCCCCGACGAACCATGATTTTACTCAGGTTCCAATTGTGGGACCGCGCCAGTATAATTGACTCTCTCTCTCTCTCTCAGAGTTTACTTGAATTTTACTCAATATTTTCACTGATTCACGCCTCAAATCGTAGGTCGGTGCGTATGTACAGAGTCCATGTATTTTCTGTACACGAACTAGCAACTATTACTTCAAAACAGCAAATCCAACAGCAGGCCGATCGAAATCAAAGACAGTGTACGTATTTTTCATGAAACTAAGAGCTGGTCAGAAACGAGAAAGTTCAGCGACCGTGACGGAAATATAATATACCTGTCTCCGAGAAGCCATACATTAGAACCTAAACCTAGGTCCTGACCCGCTAAGGCACCCACGCAGGTTGACGAGCCTTTGGCTGTCGTTCCCAGATTAAAATTGACAGATGCAACTTCCCAGTCTCGACCTCCCCAGTTGAATGCCACCTTGGGCACGGAAGCACACGGAAATGAATAGAAACCTGAGAAATTCAGTGAGAGGCATCAACAGACCAAGATTTCACTAGCTTCCTCACCGTTCGAGGCATCGAACACCGCCGAGCCTGCGACCTTGGAATAAAAAGTCTTGACAGCGGCTGGCGGGGCATACATGATAGTTGTGCCCGAATCGATTATCGTTTGGAACGTCCCCGAGACTGTAGAGGCGTTGACTTTGACCGAGGCGCTGGGCAGTTGCCAGAACCCCGACTTGGAAGTGACGTTGTGGAACTCGACACTGCCGTTGTACAGTTTTTTCGAAGTCCCTCCGAGATGCAGCTGAGAGCCCTTGCCGGCGAGGAAAAATCCAAACGTGTTGGATGCGACCCGGCCTTGGCTCTTGGCGGTGGTGAAGAAAGGGCTGTGACCCAAGTTGGAGAGACTAGGAAAGGCCATGCCGAGGATGCTTAAATTGTTTTAGAGCAAGTTCAGACTGATTATGGAGTGATTACCCGTCAATAGGTTCCTCGGAAAAACCCGAAGACAGAGTGGTCACTGCGCTGAAGAATTGGTTGGTGGCTAAAGAGATTAAGCCAGTAAGAAGCGTGCTTGTAACAACCGAACCTTTCACTCCAGCGACATTAACTGAGAACAATTACTTAGTCTCGTCTCGGGTCCGCAATGGGAACGGAAAGTCTTACCGGTATCCTACATATATGACGTGTCAAATCGTGAGCAAACGGGATGTTTCTAAATTATATCATACCGTATAGACGGGCCCGCTAACCTAGGACCATTTCAGTAGAAGGACATGCCAAAGACAAAGAAAGCTACCGTTGATCCATCGCCGTACTGAATCTGAAATGTGGCACGGGTTCCCACAGCGGTAGATGAAGAATTCGCGTCGAATCTGGATTTCGATGTGCAAACAGTATTAGTGCACGCCTTGGAAGGGACCCAAAGGTCGGCTGAGCCAGCTGAATCATGTTTTGTGTCAATGTTTTTTTCGTTTACATATTTTTTGAGCTAGCTTAATTACTTACTGTCAAAGTCGATGTTGAATTTTTGTGGCGGTGTCCCGATCAAAAGCGGACCAGCCCACTCGGTGTCTTCATCTTCGTCCGTTAACGGTTCAATCTGTCGCCCCTTCAATACATGGAGAATGTCCTCCGCAAGTTCAGCGAGGGGTTTGATGGCAGCACCCTGTGAATCATTCGCTTCCTTCAATGAAAAGCCGGCACATCCACCAACCGGGTTAAACGCAGCCAGTCCCTTGTTCTTCTTGAGGTTTATCAGGTTCTGACGGCTTTTGTTCTTCGTGGTGACGGTCGCGGCGATAGCCTTGTCCTTATCGAATACACCGGCAGACGTGGTGAGCGTTGAACGCCTTCGGAGCGGGATGGATATGGGACCACCAGCGATGCCTTGGTGAAGAGGCAATCTTGAACCGGGAATGGCCATGACAGCAATGACGAGAGAAAACAGTAGCAGTATCGCCTTGGTGAGCATTGCAAGGCAGAAGAGAGTGTGTGTTGTAAGGGAGTGTGAAGGAGATCTGGCAGAGTTCAACGATGGAGGCTTTGCATTTTATGCAACCCCATCATGCAACGCGGGCGTAGAAAGGACTCCAAAGACGGGGATGATTGTTGAGAGCTGTCGGATGAACATGGCAGTTGGATGCTGGAGAAGCTCTAAAAACTGTCTGCATGCTTCGAAACGTCGATTTGTAGCCACAGCTCATAGAAGCAGTTTAGATGCTAAGATAAAAGATGTAGTAATGCCAAGTTTCGAGTACAAGATACTACCCAGTATTGCTGCACGAATCTATCTCAGCCCTCGAGTGAGGTGAGAATATGATTCACCTTCAAATCAAGCTGCTCAAGTCACTGTCTTGATACCACAATCTGCTTCCATTTGACCGGGAACACACGTTGATGGTCAAAGCAACATCGTTACATCGGAAATAAATTATGTCCATTTCGTCTTCATCTGACTTCCAAGACGGTAATCATTCGCATGAGGCGGAGCCACATCTGACGGGCCACCCACCTATTGTTCAATGCTTTAGGTCTTTGTCCTTCCAAATGTGGAAAGCGATGGGTGGCTCATTGAGAAAAAGCGTATATAAGTCTTGAGCGTTGTTTAACCCTCAAGAGCAACTGTCCCATGCAATACGCCACTCTCCGCCGCACGGCCGCACCTCTTCAGAAGACCATACCTATTCCCAATCACGGAAGCCCGCCCCGAATGCGAAGAAACACAGTCGAAGGCAGTCCAGCAAGGCGGCAGCAGCCCATGATACGGCTCATAAAGGCGTCACAGCAGCAACAGTATGCGTACGAGTACATCGACGACCGAAGCAGTTTCGTACGGGTGCAGAAAGCTGAAGGTCCGAATTGGTGAAACGTCCTGGGCTTGATATATCTGACTCGAGTTTTCTAGAGGAAAGAATTCAGCAGGATAGAGAACGAGCGCTGCGGGCCCAGCGCCGAAACAAAGCTCGCAAAGCTGCTAGAGCATCCAAGGCCGCTGAACAGGCTGCCGACGCGACCGACGATTGGGAGCCCATCCCGCTCCCAGACGCGACCGACGACTGGCAACCCATTCCGGTACCGGATAGTTATCCAGACCATCCTGCCGCACACTCGCATAATAGTAGTATCAGAAGGACAACTAAAACTGGGGAAAGAGGTCAGCTCCTCCTCTTCCCTGCAGCTATTCACTGACTTTATTGGCAGTGCGTTTGGACAGCTTCGTCTTCCCAACTTTCGACCCCAAACAACAAGTTCAAGCCCGGCCGCCTCCACTGGACAATCCCCCTCCTTTATACCGCGGAATGCCGTCAATTCCATCGTCTACCAAGCGACTCGCACCACTTTCTCGCTTCAATCCCTTTGTGAGGGCCAGATCCGAGTCGCTTTCTTCGTTGATCGACGAGGCAGAGGCACTGCCAGAAAAGCGCAAGCGGAATGCTTCCCTCACGGCGCTATTTCAGAGAATTCACCGCGAGGCAGAGTACATGCGGATGGCCGCGAAGCAAGGGCATAACGCGATTTATGGACAAGCATATTAGGCGCAAAAGCCTATTATTCGTCGCCTTCGATGTAGTCGTTACAGTAGCACACTGAAAAGGCATACATGTGTTTCTTCATCGGCTTTTCGGCTTGAGCTTGTTTTCGGCCATATCAGCGATACCTGGTCTGCTCAGTGCGGCCATGGACCCGGGTCACCACATACATTCCCCTGCCGCTCGCGCACCCATACGTTGTCCAAATCCCGATGACCCTCCTCCAGCCAGGCCCTTCCATACTTCGCCTGTTCGGCGCAGCTCGCCTCTAGCATCCCAGAACGGTTCTGTGGCCACCTCCAACAATGGCCGCCGCAGGGTTCACTCGGTCAACCCAGTTTCTGCATCAGCAAGCCATACGCGGTCGAGGAGACCTATTAGCACAAGCTTTGGCTCGTCGCAGACCTCTTCGCTCCGTGAAGGAATGAGTTCCGTGATGGAAGACTCTGGCATCGGTCTCTTTTCCGACGAGTATGATTTATGTGTGTGCTTGTGCTACTCCTGGCTCCCGCTCTCACGCGTATCACTCTAGCTCACCAAGGCAAGCTTCACCGGGAATCCTCCACTCTCCGAAAGTAATTTAATATAAATATCAGACCCCAGAATTCTGCAAGACGTGCAACGCGCGTTGAAGCTCAAGGCTCGGCGGGAAGCGCGTCTGAAGTCCGCAAACTCCAGTCCCTCCTCCAACAAGCCCGATGCTGATTCTCAGTTGAAGCCTGTTTCTCTGTTGCAGCCTGCTTTTCAGTTACAGCATACTAGTAATCTGCAGCCCGAGCCTCCATTGCGCCCCTTCTTTCAACCGGTGCCCTTTCCACCACCTCCAATATCGGTTATTTCCGAGACGGAACCTATCCCTATTCCTTCTGCTGATCGCTCTACCTCGAGCGTCGTGAATCATCCCATACCGACGTCTTCAGATGAAGGCACCACTCTGGATTGGTCAGGCATAGGGTCGGAAGATGACAGGTTTGAACGACGATGGACCATATCAATATCCAAACGCAAAGAGAAGGAGAAAATTCCATCAAATAGCGCTGTCGAAACTCGGGAGAGCATGCATACAGGTGCACATGTTCCGAGTCTTCTACCTGGCTATATCTGATGCGCGTTTCTCCCAGCAAAAATTCTACAAATTAGATCAAAATTATCTCCCAGGGCTCTGGAAAAAGCCTCCGTGGCAAGCGACCAGTTAAGCCGGCGGTACAACCTTGTCTATAATTCCCTTTCTACGGGTACTTTCAACATCTCCAAAGTAGCCCGCTGGTTCCGAAGCCAGGAGGTAGTGGTCCAAGC